GTCCTCGTCGTCATCGATGGTCGTGATCGGTGGTAGCGGTTGCGGTAGTGGTAGTGGTAGTGCTGGTGGTGGTAGTAGTGGTGGTGGTAGTGGTGGTCGAGGCACGAAAAGAGACGCGAAGATTCGAAGCTTGCCCTCGTCACCTGTTATTCCGCACGACGAATCCAAGATTCAGGCCTCGCCCGAAACCAAAGAGAAGAAGGGGGGAGGAGGAGGAGGAGGAGGGGGAAAGGAGAGCGCGAATACACAGCAGGAAAATTCGGAAGATCGGTCGGTAAGGGTTCTGGTCGGTAAATACGAGGTCGGTAAACCAGATTCGAGAAAATCGACCGAGATCCAATTGCGGGTGCATAGAGACAAGGATTGGGAATCGATCGATTCGCAGCAACAGCAACAACAACAACAACAACAACAACAACGACACGGCAAGTCGTCGAGAATCACGGCCGAGTATAGCAGAAGATCGGCACCGATCCTGATCAATAATCATTCGTCCTCGTCCTCGTCCTCCTCATCGTCTCCGTTGTTCGGTGAAACGGCGCCGGAAGCACCAGGCAGGCCACCAGTCCCATCCGCGGGAACCGGGTCCACGGGTAATAAGAAACAACAACAACATGGCAGGACGCATCCTCTCGCCAGGCTGCAGGTCAGGCCTAGGCACAGCAGTCCGGTTTATAACACGATGTAAAAAAGAAAAAAGAAAGTAAAACGAAGAGAGAAGAAGAAGAAGAAGAAGAAGAAGAAGAAGAACAAGACGAAGAAGAAGAAGAACAAGAAGAAACGTTTATCGATTTGGTTCTCTTTCTCTCTCCTCTCTCTCTTTAACATTCTCTCTCTCTCCCCCCCCTCCCCCCTCCTTTCCCTCTCTCGAATTTGAGCGCGCGTACCTGAATACACGGGTATGTTGTCGTGACCACAATGTGAAAACCGCGTGATCTCTGTACGATGCCAACGAGACGAGAATCATCCTGTTCGAGCTCGACGACGAATCGACGGGGACTCGGATATTTGTATAGATTTGTTTCCCACCATCTTCGATGTGTACAATTTTACCCTATTCGGCGAGAATGTAATCTATTTCCGAGCGACGATACGACAGAGCACCCGTATTTTTTCGATGCATATTTCTTCGAACGGGTAGGGTGTTGAAACGACGACGACGATGACGATGACGACAGTGATGATGATGATGATGATGATGATGATGATAATGATGGTGATGGTGATGATTATGGTGATGATGACGATGATGATGATGATGATGATGATGATGATAATGATGCTGATGATGATGATGATGATGATGATGATGATGATGATGATGAACTTTTCTTCGCGCGTTGGAAAATCGTGTTTTATCCCGCGAGTATCGTTGCTACGTAATTTCGTTCCGATTTTTATATCCGCGATAATCGAATCGAAAATTCCTTCGTGTTCAAAAGCGATAAAAAAAAAAATATTCGAAATGAGCGATCGATGAGCGGAAAAATAGTGAATAAATGGGTAAATAGTTTGTTGTGAACGAGATGATTAGTCTTCTATCGAAAATTCGAAAAGATACAAGTGCCTTGTCCTACCGTCGACGATTGTATATGACCGTATATAGATATATTTGTAATAAGGCACGTTCAAGGTCCTTTTAACGTTTTTATGTTCCTTCTCACACGTCAGACGCGTGGTCTTTGGCCTGCTCTTCGTTATTTTTTAAGCTGGAAATGCAACAATTCTATAGGAAGATACGAAAGAAGAAGAAGAAGAAGAAGAAAAAGAAAACGCTGTTATTCCTACGACGTGTCGTCATCCGTAGATCTAATAATGGGCTTGGAATCAAACGTGATGTTTGCGAGGGTTGGGTCGCGCAAAAGTTGGAGCCCGGCGGTGAGCTCGGTCAGGCTGTGAACGAAAGGTCCGGGCCTCCCGCTATCCCGCTCAAATACTGGCTCTCCGGCTCCTCCTTTTGCCATTCGCGTTGTGATCACCGAGGCGTATGCGAAACACAGAGATTCTATATGATAATAATAATAATAATATAAACAAACACTTCGGAACGACGACGTGTAACGTTAACCTGTACTATTTAGCGTATTTTAGAGCGAACAATGTGATTAGGAATGGTGCACAGTATGCGAGGAGACGAAAGTAACGAAAAACCCTCTCTCTCTCTCTCTCTCTCTCTCTATTATTATTTTTCATTATTACTATTATTATTATTACTATTATTATTATTATAATTATTACTATTATTATTATTAATATTATTATTATTATTATAATTATTAATATTATTATTATTATTATTATTATTATTATTACTATTATTATTATTGTTATTACTATTATTTTTATTTTTATTATTATTTTTATTATTACTACTACTACTATTACTACTAGTATTACTACTATTACTATTAT